TGCTGTCTTTGTTTTACCGATCTGGGCATTCACATCTGCATCAGGTCCACCTTGCTCATCATTGATGCTGTCTGGATATGAGAAGGTTTTTGCACCCTCCAAGGCACCTCGAAGAAGTGTGATTTGGTTTCTCATTTGGTGTAGTATCCGACAATCTTGTGTGTGTACTTCGGACCTGCTGCTGAGGCTGCTGCTACACTGTCCGTCTTCTCTCACATTTTCTGTTGCGTGTACGATAGAAGAACAACATCATCTGCGAAATCGAAATCGTCTAATTAACTAATTCTTGATGATAAAACTTTTCTTTCATTAATCTTAGCCTACTATACAAGTAATGTTGTCTCTACCTAACAAATGTGTACACTGTATTGTATGCTTTCCATGTGCAACTATTGACATTTCACTGAAACAAAGTATGTGAATCAGCAATTTCGTGATGGTCGGTATCGGATAACTTCTTAGACTTCTATATTGCTTGACCAGAGAAAAGTTTCAAAATAGCGCCTCATGATTTATAAATCAGTAGACGAATACAATTTGTTGTACACATTCAGTCAGCGCAACACAGTTGGATGACCGAACCACAGGCACACAGAGTGAAAATCAATATGCGAACATCAAAAGAAAAGCAGACAGGCGGATGAGAGATCCAATGAAACAATGGATACGATTCAAATGTACGTTTATGGACGTAGGAAAATCGATGGGCCGCCAAAATATTTAGGAGGTTAACATTTAAGCGAATGGAATTAATAAGAGCGTAGCCGTTGAGAAATGCTCATTGGTGACAGCCCATAAAAACCAAACAACAATGAATGCCAATGGACCAGATAAGTTATGGCTATACAAATGACTCGGTTAAATAGCATTCCTGTCTCCTGATTTGTTATTATCTTCATCACAAGTAAGTTGTATTCGCTTCTTTCCTCAAGAAATCTCACCATACTCCAATGTTATCCTAACATTGAAAAAACAACATGTTTTAATATATTCAGAAGCATTTTTGAAGTATTTACGATGTGTTTTCAGTGGAATGAATGAGCAATTGTTTACTTTGTAAAAGGGAATTAAGTAGTGAAGTAAGTTGACGATCTAACTTACTTCCAATTTAGTCGTTGGATTTTCTCATCAATCAAGATTCATTATTCCTCTCATTGACTACTATTCATCATAACTACTGATCAGTGTACACTGCAACGTTCAACAAATAGTGTTTGTGAGAATTTCGAGATTGTTTGGATCAAGTACCATTAAGTTATACAAAAATGAACTCTTACAATCAATCAATCATGTTATTGACAGTGTAGTGAGGCTAACACTTGTTGATTATTACACTTATTGAGTTATCTGTACTGAGAATGACCAGCAATGCAAACATTCTGCAAATGAAAAATAAATAATCAGGCTAGTTTTCAAGTGAGCCTAAAAAACAGTCTCAAAATATTTTGTCATACAAACAATAAATACTTGTCTGCTAATTTTCGATTATAGGCAACAAATTTACACAGTCATAATCAAATATTTAACAGAGAATTTCGGATCTAATATCTTTCTCTATTTCTCTGCGTTATTTGTTCCTCAACATTCATCTCTTCAGTTAGCTTTCAGAATTACAGGTTCATTTTGTTTTCCTGTTCAGAGTAATAAATGATTTCTCGTTATCACAGAAATTCATTTAGAATAGCACTCTGCTGCGTCACCGGGCAAGCCCTTACCTGTAATAGAAATAGAGAAAGATATGAGAGGAATGAACAGAAATTTGAAAGCACTTGAAAGAGAAGCCATAGGCAGATTAGGCTAGAGAATGCTGGTCTCTGTCCTATACTCCATTTTGGATATCGGGGGTAAGTAAGTTGGAGATAATTGAGAAACAACCGAAACATCTAGCTCAGAGAACGAAACGCCACCACAAGTAGGCAAATTAGTTAGTAATTATGTAATGTATCTTTTATTTATATTTCTTACTGCTGCTTACCTTTCTTTGTTTTGTTGGCTGTTTTGGGGATTATATATTTAGTTACTTGTATTCACTTGGTTATCAGTATTAGGGCCAATGTACAAATTCATGTATGTTTAGATTTTTGAATCCTATAAATTTCTGTAGTGATCATTCCTAATGAATTCTGCATTTAAGAAATTACCTAATTTTTATTAAATCTTCTTCAACTCATAAAATTCATCGTTATTATTTCGATACACTGTACTATTTCTCTTCAATTAAATCCGAAATTCTCTGTTAAATATTTGATTATGACTGTGTAAATTTGTTGCCTATAATCGAAAATTAGCAGACAAGTATTTATTGTTTGTATGACAAAATATTTTGAGACTGTTTTTTAGGCTCACTTGAAGGCTAGCCTGATTATTTATTTTTCATTTGCAGAATGTTTGCATTGCTGGTCATTCTCAGTACAGATAACTCAATAAGTGTAATAATCAACAAGTGTTAGCCTCACTACCCTGTCAATAACATGATTGATTGATTGTAAGAGTTCATTTTTGTATAACTTATTGGTACTTGATCCAAACAATCTCGAAATTCTCACAAACACTATTTGTTGAACGTTGCAGTGTACACTGATCAGTAGTTATGATGAATAGTAGTCAATGAGAGGAATAATGAATCTTGATTGATGAGAAAATCCAACGACTAAATTGGAAGTAAGTTAGATCGTCAACTTACTTCACTACTTAATTCCCTTTTACAAAGTAAACAATTGCTCATTCATTCCACTGAAAACACATCGTAAATACTTCAAAAATGCTTCTGAATATATTAAAACATGTTGTTTTTTCAATGTTAGGATAACATTGGAGTATGGTGAGATTTCTTGAGGAAAGAAGCGAATACAACTTACTTGTGATGAAGATAATAACAAATCAGGAGACAGGAATGCTATTTAACCGAGTCATTTGTATAGCCATAACTTATCTGGTCCATTGGCATTCATTGTTGTTTGGTTTTTATGGGCTGTCACCAATGAGCATTTCTCAACGGCTACGCTCTTATTAATTCCATTCGCTTAAATGTTAACCTCCTAAATATTTTGGCGGCCCATCGATTTTCCTACGTCCATAAACGTACATTTGAATCGTATCCATTGTTTCATTGGATCTCTCATCCGCCTGTCTGCTTTTCTTTTGATGTTCGCATATTGATTTTCACTCTGTGTGCCTGTGGTTCGGTCATCCAACTGTGTTGCGCTGACTGAATGTGTACAACAAATTGTATTCGTCTACTGATTTATAAATCATGAGGCGCTATTTTGAAACTTTTCTCTGGTCAAGCAATATAGAAGTCTAAGAAGTTATCCGATACCGACCATCACGAAATTGCTGATTCACATACTTTGTTTCAGTGAAATGTCAATAGTTGCACATGGAAAGCATACAATACAGTGTACACATTTGTTAGGTAGAGACAACATTACTTGTATAGTAGGCTAAGATTAATGAAAGAAAAGTTTTATCATCAAGAATTAGTTAATTAGACGATTTCGATTTCGCAGATGATGTTGTTCTTCTATCGTACACGCAACAGAAAATGTGAGAGAAGACGGACAGTGTAGCAGCAGCCTCAGCAGCAGGTCCGAAGTACACACACAAGATTGTCGGATACTACACCAAATGAGAAACCAAATCACACTTCTTCGAGGTGCCTTGGAGGGTGCAAAAACCTTCTCATATCCAGACAGCATCAATGATGAGCAAGGTGGACCTGATGCAGATGTGAATGCCCAGATCGGTAAAACAAAGACAGCATGTCTATAATTGAAGAACATCTGCAGCTCGAAACAACTGCCAACCAACATCAAAGCCAGAATTTTTAATTGTGGGGTTTGTAAGCTTGAAGGACTACATAAGACGTCACCTAAAGCATTCTGGTTTTTATTAACAGATGTCTACGCAAAATACTTCGGATTTGTTGACAAGAAACTATCAGCAACAACCCACTGTGCGCGAGAACGAATACAATTTCAGCGGAGGAGGAAATCATGAAAAGTTGCTGGCGGTGGATGGGACACACATCAGATAATGAACCACACTGTTTCACAAGACCTGCCTTTGAATAGAGTGAGGGCAAAGTAACACAATTCACCGAAACATGCAAACAGACAAGCAAAGTGTGAACAACAACTTGACAGATGTGGGAAGGAAGGCTGAAAACAGAATAGGTTCGAGACAGCTGGTCGGTAGCATAGGCTCCTCTGTGGGTAACAGGCAATATCAAATATGTACGTACGTAAGCAAGTAGGTCGAATATTTGTTTTACTATGTGCTTCATAATATACGATTCAAGTTTCGATGATTTTATTTGTGTGCGCAATTGCGAGATTTTCTGCAAAGATTTTCATGTGACCTTTGTAGACATATCATGAATTATTTACACAATTTTAGGAATGCCTGATATATTGATCTGCGATGGTCTTCCATTGTTTTAAAAGAAACGTTTTGAAGATGATGAGATCAATACAAGATCGAGGAATTCGTTTTATGCATGCAACCTTATATTTCGAAATACGTTCTGACAGATATTTATTTACGAACAACAATTATCCTAATGAGCATATTACCAATCAGTTCATAATTCAGACGTCATTCATTCATTGTTTCACCGTGAATTGGTTCTTCTGATATATAAGGCAATGCTGGTTGAAATGTCGTTGAATGAATCGGCCAATAAACTCGCGATTTTAATTATACTAAACATGTCGAAGCAAACCAGTAGCGAAGACAATTCATGAATTCAAACCAAAATCATAAAACATTTTATTTTAATTTTAAAGTAAAAATAAATGAACACATTACATAATGAAACTGTTTGACACATATACAATATTTTATATCCATTTAAGATACACAGTAATGTTTTCAAATGGTAATTATAAGTAAAGCAAAAACGTTGAAAATATGAAAGGCGAATTGCTGTGATAATCCACGTATGCAGTTCAATACTAATTACTTCCAGAAACAATATTATTTTAGTAAGAGAATATGTATCATGGTTTTTGAACAAATAAATATCTGATTATTGTTTCTAGAAGTCCGATGTAGTGATGTAGTTCATAGTGAATAACGGAAAAAGAAAAAAATATATACACAATTCATGAATCGAATTATAAAGTTTATATAAAGAACTTGGCAGTCATTAGTAAATTGGACACGTGAACTGATGATTTCTGTCAGTTATCGTATAGGACACGTGTATTTTACACGCTATCATATTCCATGAGCAGTCAAGTCATCTTGAACATTTGACAAAGATACTGATATGTTCGTTAGTGTATCTGCTTCTATACTCTGTAGAATAAATTCATTGAGTTCACATTTTAATCACACTACATGAGAAACACGTCATCAGATAACTCGTGTTCCATATTGCTGACGATGCATGGGAAACGGTGAGAACGCTCAATGTTGTGAATGAATTATCACTTTTACCGATATTTTTTGTATGTGATTGCATGCTTGCGCGTGTATGTCAGTCATTAAGATATGATCATTTGGACACTGATCTTGAAAGTAAATTAGGCACTTCGGAAACTTATTGAGTGGTTGAATAACTAAGCAGATAGGGTTGTGATTCAACAGGATTGAACGTCAGTACCGCGGACCGAGAAACTGGGTTATGTGTGTGTGTTTGAGTGTAGTAGAGGAGTAAGTTAAAAAAAATGTTGAAACTTACTTTCGGTTGTTAATTGTACATTTTCTTTTGGGACTTTGTCGATCATGGTCATTGGTGGCAATATCCTTTTTGACTGCTGCGATGGAATCGTGTCTGCCATGGTTTCTACTGCAGCTGGAGGAAGAAATAATTTACAGGTATTTCAAAATTAGCATATTTACCCTAATGTTTTACTTCTGTATGTGATTTACTGTTGCATGATTAACTGGACAAAATTTATTCATGAGCACAGTGTTAGTTGTAAAGTGGTGGATTTCGGTTACTTATGCTCATACTCATTCTCACAAACTTACTCATATTGAAAGCAAAAAAGAATTTGATGTTAACAGCCAGATAAACGTTTGTGACAACTGCCCACTGTTCAGTGACGGTCGAGCACATTCTCGTCCACATCTTGAAGTGAGTTGCCTGGATGTGGTGCATGTTAACACCGAAGTTGAAAGACTTGAACATTGTGGTTCGCAATAAGCAAACACGTACAATGGTTAAATGTTGGTCTGCTTTGGAAAGAATTCATAGTAAGATTGAACATGTTCAATGTGCGAATCTGTTGTTCATGTGATTGTGATTGTGAACATTTCGCATAATACTTTTATGACTCATATCGTCTATCGATCGATCGATCTATCATAATGTTGGAGAGATGTGATGGGATATGGTGGTTCAGGTTTGGTCGTCGTTGTTGATCTTACTTTGTGAGAAACATGAGCAGTGCAAGGATTTTGCGATAATGAGAGACGTGATGGTGACAATGGGTTTCGACTGCAGTGACAAGGCATTCAGATTTTGGGTGAAAGTGATTAGAACCGTTGTCTGAGCGATTTGTCCACATGTTAATAGTTTTCTAACCGGTTTTTGTTGTTGAGGCGTTTTGCGTAGCTCTTAGTTTAACAGGTATCAATTTTTAACTTGGATTCACTGTTATTTAAGTTGGTTATTACAGAAAATTTATCAGCAACATTTTGTGACTATTACAATTCTACTTACGATTACTCTGTGATGTTGCTCTAATGAGCTTTTTCTTCCTTAGTTGTTTTTCTGATAATGTATCAATTGTTACTAAAACAAAGAGTAGTTATTATTCATATGAACCTGACTTTAACGATGTTTTATTGTCCGATCTGACTAGATTTTATTGTTTATTGCAATCAGAATTTCTATAATATTCACTAAATATGGAAACAGTGACGATGATTTAGGTAATACAATAAAATTCCTAATACTGAGTGGTGGTTCAGGTTTGGTCGTCGTTGTTGATGGTACTTTGTGAGAAACATGAGCAGTGCACATTCACAAAACTCAAAGTACACCAATGATCTCAGTCAGTTGAAATGACTGCAACCGAAATGTTTGCAGTGCAAGGATTTGGCGATAATGAGAGACGTGAATGTGACAATGGGTTTCTGTTGTAGTCAAAAGACATTGGTAAGTTGGATGTAAGTGAACAGAACTGTCGGTTGGGCGACGTGTTAAATGTTTATATTTTGCTAACTTCTTTTGTCATTGAGGCGTTTTTTGAATCTCTTGCTTCAAGAGATATCAGTACTTTTAGTTCAATGAACTGTTATTTATGTTCGTTATTTCAAAACATTTATCAACGACATATTGTGACTATTATTGCTGTACTTGCTATAACTTGGTGTTGTTTCTCATATAAATTCTTTATTTGTTGCTTGTTTCTCATTCAATGTATCAATTATGACTAAAACAATGAGAAATAGTTATTGATTCGAACATGAATTTGACGATGTTTTTTGTCCGATCATTTACATTTTATTGTTAATTGCATTCACTATTTATGTATCATTCACACAATATGGATACAGCATGTGCCTTATCCACTTTTAGCGCCTATTCCTGATTTCCTGCTGTGGTGTCACCTGGTTAGTTCTCTTCCACAGTAGATTGCTGCCGATGGTCTCTGGCTTATAATCCGTAGTATTTTGCGTAGACAACTGTGAATGCATACTTGTATCTTGTGGTTGATGGATTTCGTAGTTCTCCAAGTTTACGCTGCATACAGTAGAACTGTCTTGACGTTTGAAATAAAAATCCTGATTTGGTGTTGACTAGTATTTGCGTGGACTTCCGGATTTTGCTCATTTTTAGATGCACAGCTCTTGCTTCTTTCATTCGCGCCTTTGCATCTGCACCTGTTCCACCCTGATTGTCGATGATGCTGCTCAGAAATGTTAAGGTATTAACGCCCTCCAAAGCATTTCCTTCAACAAACATTTGTTTGGCGCATGTTTCCTTGTATCCCTGAATCTTGCTTTTCTCTTTTATGTATGTAGAGTTCTACGGATAAGCAAGATTCTTCATCTTAACACTACTCAGTAACATAAGCATTAGTATTCATGTTTCACTATTAATCTATTTGAATCTTCCGTTCCATTTGCGTTCTGAAATTCGTTGACGACCATATATTTTATCAAGGTGGGTAATTCAGAACACAATATAAACTAAAATTTCAGATGAACCATCTGTCTCGTACTTACCTTGTGCTGTTAGTTGCATAATTTTCAAGAATGACAGCTTGTTACTATGACGAAAATCAGCTTTCAATTTGGTCATTATTGAGTCCATATTTAATTGGTGTTCGTTGGGATACAAAAAGTGCAATGATGATTTTGCTTTCACACCAATGATTACACCATCGTACGCACTATGAATATTTATTTGCGAGAATATAACACCTCCACATCTACCCATATTTGATCCAGGAGTCATCACATTTGTGACCAAACCAACGATCTAAACAACAATGGTATGTTTTAAATAAAAAACCATCAATCAGAAATAGATTTTAGTTTCAAAATTATTGACTTTTTCTTTGCAATTGATCATGGGTCATCAAGTTTCTAAAGAGAATATCAGGTAACTCATGCATCTCAGTCTACAATTGCATTACACATGTTGATTTTGACAGTATCGCCAGTTTAACAGAATCTGTCATGTTGTTTGACTCACCGAGATCATATTGCAATCATTCAGGTGTACATGGATTAATAAAGGAAACTGAAGTAATCAGATCGATGTGCGCGGATTTTTCCGATAGATTTAGTTGGTGGTAAACACAACTGGAATACACGGACACGTCCTTCTGATCAATCTGTAATTTCAACTTGAGTAATATACTTTTGCGATTCTCGTGTCTTCCTAGTGAACCGATCAACTCAATATTATTTTGTCGATCTGATCCATTTTACAAGAACGTGGTAGGTGTGATCTATAATGATATCCCTCAGTGATGGGTGATTTCGAACACTCATCGCTACCATGATCGTCCTTGAACTTGTAAGAAAACGCGTTGTTTATTCACGCACCGCAATCAGTCATTTTCGTCACAAACAGTATCGAGTGTATACAGTGGCCTACTGTTGGTCTCATTAGGATCAGATCTATGAAGATAGCGAGTTTTGATGGGTCATACTCTTTTACCTCGGATTGTTTTTTATCGTGTTTCCTCTCTGCAACATAAGTTGTTCCATGGCCTTCATATTCACTTCAAATTGCATCTGTAGGTGGATACTTTCTACAATGTTTATTTTATACATGAATAATAAACACTATTTGCCAAGTGATAAAAATAAACGCACTAGTTGACAAAAAGTAGCAGATAATTCTTTGTATGAAAGTGAGGTGGAATCTTGATAAAGTGGATTCCATGTGATCATCTGTCCAGAAGTACGATCTTGCAAAACAGCATCAAAGATTGAAAAATCCACTTCTGAAAATGGCAAGATGAAAAGAACAATTATTTAGATTAATTCAAATACTAATATCAATAAAAACTATAGAGTGTAGTGATCAAACCGTTTGTCAGAAAATCGTTTCATAATGTCTTGTTCAAGTTATCTACCAAGTTCTACTGCTAAGGGATTATTTCCCTCATTATTGCTCCACTCATTCTCACCCTCATCTGAACGTTTGGTTTTACACACAATAGTTTTTATATCCACCCGTAGTTGTTCAGTCTGACCCCAGTATCAATACTGCATGAATTACTTGATATGATTATAATTGCACATTTATTGTTTTCCGTGTTGATTTTACCCTATGTTAGGTGTGACATTCAAACAATCTATATCGATATCTAATTGTTGACTACCTAATTCTATCGTCATGATTATTCTGAACAACTGAACTTGATTCAATTACACGCATGAGTATGGTTGATAATTCAAAGGCTCCATGGGAAGGCTCATGGGAAATCATATACGCAAAAGTGAATGCTATGATATTGTTCATGTCATTCTGACGAAATGATAAGAAAAATTCATTTCTTTTCTAACAAAAGAATGAGTTCGGAGTAAGTCATGAAATAATCACTGAAGTACTGAAACAACTTACTTGTTCTTCGACTTTCAGTAAGTCCATCTGATGGTTCATTTGAATAAGGCTTATAACCAGATGGAAATTTGTTTGAGAGCACTTGAACAACATATGCAGCAGTTAAAATAGTGATCACAGTGAGTATATTCATTTCTGTAAAGTGATAAAAATTATCATTATGACGCAACGGAGATCATGAGAAATAAATTACAGGAAGTCCGAAAATATATTTTGAACATTGAGGTGGGTGTAATAAGAAAGAGTACTCTGATAAAATATATCGACTGAGCATTGCTTACGTACGTTTCGGATCGTCGTGTTTAGAATGCCACACTCAACAGTTGAAGACAGAAGTCTCCGCTGCTCAAATGTACAACAAATTCGGAGTTAATTTATTCATATCTATTGACCATTGATGAAAAATATTCCATGATTTCAGGGTATAAGCATTCGCATGCAAGAACACAGCACCTAGTTTCCACTAATACAAGTAAGGTCAGAGATGAGCAACACAGCCTATGCGCACAATAAGGATAGCTTTTCATCAAATACTTTCAGGTTGTGATAGAAGTCCGGACGTGATTCCGAATACGATAAAAATAGTTTTGTCTGTCAAATGTTTGTTTAGATGCCTAAATAAGTAATTTGTCAAATTCTCGAAATACCGGTCAACGCGTTCAAAGAATGGAAATATCTATCTGCTCTGGTTTGTGTTGATCTATACATGAATTTTCTAACCTAGCAGTTCACTCCGGTTCCCTTAGGTGTAGGTTAAACGCGCTATCCCCCAATCCAATATCGAAACACAATAATTCTGGGAGAAAGCGGTCTATTTTCATAATAAAATGGAAATACAAACAGTTACCTAACTATGAATACACCTTTCTATTCACAATTACCGCTAAGGGTAACCGATTCCAAAGGAATAAGTGTTACCAGTTCTTACTGCCACGGTATTAAATTCAAATATGGCTGTAGCCATATTAAATATCAAATGTAAACAACATTTGTACAGTTCAGATGCAAACATAAAGACTTCAATATAAGTACACGATATAGAAATAATAACAATATACAATCATAAAATCTCAAAATGGAATCAAATAAAGTACCAAAATGTTAACAGAAAGAGTCAGTCATATCATAACACAAATATATATATATATATACATGGAGGGATTTTCCAAAAAACAAAACATTCAAACAAGATTCTACAGCTCACCCAAAACAAGGATCATTTAAACTCACTTCGTATAGTTTCATCAATCAATGCTTTATTTTACAGTACATATCATTCAGTGTTTTATATAATCAATATTACTGATCTGAGTAAATCAGTATCCACTTATGAGTTATTGTTACTGTATAAAGTATGTATAAAGATTGAAGTTTAAATATCAACAGATTGATGCAACGTTCAGCTTGATCGTCATGTTTGACAGAACAGGGATATTGAGTTTCATTGTTCAGCCATTTTCTATCTAGTGTGATTGACTTAAGCGTGATAGCATGCTAACTGAACTAATAATCATTCAGTGAGAACAGTAAAATCTTTATCACTCTGCGTACCCTCAGTTATTGATTGCTTTGCTTGATACAATGTTGAATTTCACCATTTGGTAGAAATATCGTGCTCCTGAAATCGTTTTCAAACATATCTCCGATGTTCTAGTTTCGAAATGTTCATCTGTTATTTCATTGGTAGGAACATTCATGTGAACTCTCTTCAGAAACTTTCAATACCAATATAACTTCATGAATATCAAATTACATTCACAATGTACTCACTGAAATTATCTAACAGTTGAAAACAGAGCCGACCAACGAAGTTAGTAAACGGTTATGAAGATTGCAGAAGTTCACTTATAACTTGTTAGAAAGCTGTGTTAGAATACTAAAAGAAATCTACAAACATTAGACAAGTATCTATTCCGAGAGAAGAGCTGCTTGGAAACGAATGTCCACAATCCCATTATCAGAGGTTTAACACAGTTAAACTTCAGTCAACTAATATTCTTGCCCAACTTTGTTACATCATACATTGGTCTCAGTTTATGAACGGCATTAAACTAAGATAGCTTCATTGCATCCAAAAGTGAACAGTATCAACTTTCGATATCCAGCTGATGGACTCAAATCTGATTCGGAAAAGCTCAGTATATATTATTTGATATCAGAGCCTCGAGTCACACCACATTTGTCATTCATTGTGCATTATATTGAGATGCAGGAGAAAAACACTATATTATCTTTGATGTGATTAGAATGAAATACGATAAATAACAACAGTATGGCCCTCTGCCTATCGTACCGCGATTAATCACTGTATGTTTAAGACTTGTACTCAAAAATCCATTTCAGCGAAATAATGTAATATGGAATAGATAACTTATCCTGGATTAACAAAATATTTTAGCACTGAGAATCATGTAGAGAAAATAATGTAAAACTTACTTAAAACTCTTAAGCGATTAAACGTCAACAGAGGAATATCGACTGTACACAGTTACTTGTGGTTTCAAACTAAACTGAAAATATCACAAATATTTATCAATATGTATATTTGACAATGCATTACAGCCCTGATGTTCATCAACAAACAGCGTGCATGCGTAGGTTGAATACCTTTTTGTTTGGTAGCACTCACTTGTTGCACTTTGACCTAAAAGAATTCTGCGTGGAAATCAATATCCTGTATTCTATGTAGACACTAACCTGTGATAATATTGGACCTGTTGTTCCTTCCCTGTCTCACTATGGATTTTGTGTGTATTGTTGACAGCATTGTTTATGAATTTTAAGTATTGGCACGATGGTTATCTAAAATGAGTGATAGTCTGATGTTTTTGAACTTGTTGACTGATCATAGAGTAGAATAGTTGATATTTCTACTCAGAATCAATATTTCTAAATCAATTTTCAATTCTGTTGATGTCGATTATAAGTACCTCTGTTTACTGTTGTTATGTTTAGATGTAATGTTATGCTTCACTGCTTTCGTGATAAGATAATTTTAAGTATCGTTTAAATGATTTTCATGGTGATCGGTATATACAAAGGAATGTTGTTTATCGGGTTATGATTCTTGGCTTCAAAATATTCGGAATCATTACGGTACTAAATATTAATTAAAAAGGATAATTTTTATTATCGCAATAATGAAGCTATGGATAATAACTAAAGCTACACCGTTTACATTTATTTACACAATCTTATGTTTCGGTTTCATGTGCAGTTTTATTCATCGATAATGGAATAATAACAATTACGTAATTGATACTACTCTGTTCTGTCGATTTACGTTCGCGATGAATTTCCCAACCAGGACTTGATCATTATACGTTTCACAAAAATTCATTTCATTTCATTTGTACGTTTAAAAGATGACAAGGACAAATGTGCGAAACGGTGCTTCCATCTAGTCGTCGAGTGATCATGATTACGATCTGTTGACAACGAGAGTGAATTTCGTACGCAGGTGAAATGCTTTATAACTACTTAGTGCGAAAGATTCGCTTTGACTTGATCTAACTATATTTAATTATTGCTACCACTTTGGTCTGTTGATTTTAGTGCCTGATGGAAATCTCAACTACCACCTGTCACTCCAATCCCCAGTCCTCGTACCTTACACTAATAGAGAACCCAGACGAAACCTTACTAATTAATTGAAGTTTCTCGAAATAACTGTAGTGTTTTTCGAACGTCGTCTACGAAGTATTGTTCCATCATAACTTAGATAACAAAAGATCCGTTTAATTCATGATATGGGCAAGTTTTTGACGATAAAACGGAATTGTAATCCATTAATGATTCAAGGTAACAGTTTCAATATAATTTCCTTATAGATTCATAGTTCAATAATATTGTGTGCAGTTTTATTCAACGATAATGGAATAATAACAATTTAGTAATTGATACTACTCTGTTTTGTCGATTCAGGTTCGCGATGAATTTCCAAACCAGGATTTGTTTATAGTTGGGATGAGGTGTCAACCCCATGCCCAACATCCTACTCCTTCATCCGGGCTTTGGACCGACAGTGACCCCGAAAGAAGCAACTGAGAAAATATTCCACACCCTCTTAAAAAGATTTGGGATGAGGAAAAAGTACAGTCAGATCGGAAAGAAGGATACCTGGTCAAAATACCAAAGAAAGGCAATCTCTGCAAGTGTGAGAACTACAGAGGCATCACTCTTCTCCCAATACCAGGCAACGTCTTCTACAGGTTATTGTTAAACAGAATGAAGGACTTCGTAGACGTCCAACTTCGAGATCAACAGGCTGGATTTCGTAAGGATCGATCGTGTATTGACCAAATTGCTACATTACGGATCATTGTGGAACAATCAATTGAATGGAACTCACCACTCTACATCACATTCATCGACTACGAGAAAGCATTCGATAGCGTGGATAGGAAAACACTGTGGAGGCTTCTTCGACACTACGGTGTGCCTGAGAAAATAGTCAACATCATACGGAATTCTTATGATGGATTCAACTGCAAAATCTAACACGAAGGACAGCTAACAGACACTTTTGAGGTGAAGACTAGTGTGAGGCAAGGTTGCTTACTCTCACCCTTTCTATTTCTCCTGGTGATCGACTGGGTTATGAAGACGTCAGCATCTGTAAGGATGCACGGTATTCAGTGGCTAGCTAAAATGCAGCTCTACGATCTAGACTTCGCAGATGATCTGGCCCTTCTATTGCACACGCAAAAACAAATCAAGAGCGGACGACCAGTGTAGCAGCAGGTCTCAACATATATAAATGGAAAAGCGAAATTCTCCGATGCAACACAACATACATCAACCAAATCTTGATGGAGAAGCCTTGGGGAAACTTAACACATCTACATATCTGGGAATCATCATCAACAACCAACAGATGTGAGAGCACGAATTAGCAGAGCAAGGGATGCATTTCTACGATCGAAAAATATCTGGAACTCCAAACAACTTTCAATCAAAACCAAAATCAGGATATTTAATACAAATATCAAGGCAGTTATACTGTATGGAGCGGGATTTCGGAGAAATACCAAAGCCATCATCCAGAAGATACGAGTGTTTATTACCAGTTGTCTACGCAAAATACCTCTGATTTCTTGGCCAGACACCATCAGCAACAAAGTACTGTGGGAG